TATTTCAAATTCTATGGATGTCTGATTTTACGGTAATATCTATAAAATTCCTACATTTATCTACAAATAAACTACACATCAGTTTTAGGATGTATAAAGCAATATTGTTTTCATGATTATCTACAAAATTACTACATTTATACTACAATTAAACTACAATCTATGTTGAAAAAATATTGACTACAAAATTTTTCTCTTCATCTACAAATTTTCTACAAAAATTCTACAAATATACTACAAATCAGTTTAAGTATGTATAAAGCAGTATTATTTGTAAGGGTATCTACATAATTACTACATTTATACTACAATTAAACTACGATCTATGTTGAAAAAATGTTGACTACAAAATTTTTCTCTTCATCTACAAAAATTCTACAAATATACTACAAATCAGTTTAAGTATGTATAAAGCAGTATTATTTGTAAGGGTATCTACATAATTACTACATTTATACTACAATTAAACTACAATCTATGTGAAAAAAAGTGTTGACTACAAAATTTTCTCTTCATCTACAATTTGTCGTTGCTGAGGTATTGTTCAATATTTTGTCGCTTTTTTGATTTTTGGATTAAGAAAAAAAGACGAAGAACAGAGTATCGGCAGAATTGATTTCTACAATTTGACTTGAATTTGTTGAATATTTTTAATCTTTTTTGATCAGTGGATTGAGGAAAAAAGTCGACGAGCTGAGCTTTTGCAGAACTGATTTCTACAATTTGATTCGAATTTGTTGACGATTTTGTCTTTTTTTGATTTGTGGCTTAAGGAAAAATATCGAAGAACAGAGTTTTTGCAGAAAATAGTCTATGTAATTTGATTTTAAATTGAAGATAAAGGATTTCAGTTCCAAATTTGATCTGAAGGTCGCTAAATCAATTAGAATATTCTGTTCCTGATTTGTAGCGCGCCTAATTAGGAAGATTCAGCTACTAATAATTACTCCCTCCGTTCCAGTTTATGTGAACCTATTTCCTTTTTGGTCCGTTCCAAAAAGAATGACCCATTTTTAAATTTGGAAACAATTTAGCTTCTAATGTCGCAGAACAGAATGTGATACGATGAGATAGAATGCAATAAAAACAAAGACAGGGAACGGGTTACCTACTCTTAACGGGCAAAGCGAGCCCCTTTATTCTGAATTCTTTAATTCAGAATCAATCAAATCTCCCCAAGTAGGATTCGAACCTACGACCAATCAGTTAACAGCCGACCGCTCTACCACTGAGCTACTGAGGAACAACAGGAGATTCGATCTCATAGAGTTCAATTCCCGTTCTCAACCCATGACCAATATGAGCTCGAAGCTTCCTTCGTAACTCCCGGAACTTCTTCATAGTGGCTCCCTTACATCCCTCATTTCAGAGGGAACCTCAAAGTGGCTTTATTTCATTATATTCCATCCATATCCCAATCCCGGTCTGGCCCATTCCTCGAACGAAGTTTTTACGGGATCCCTATCTACCAAAATTTTAACTTCTGGTTCCGACGAACGAATAATCACTGAGTCCTCCTCTTTCCGGACAACACATACAAAGAGACCCGCCAACAGTCAAATAATTAGTGAACCTTAGAGATAGAGAGATATTTCTATAATTAGTTTGTTTCTCTTCTATTTTTCTATCTCCCATCTATCTATTTTCTGTAGTTATTTACTAGAGCAATTATGATCTGGAAGTCGATCCGGGGCAAGTGTTCGGATCTATTATGACATAGCCTTGAGGCGCTCAACGGACCTTTTAACCTTCTAAAACCCTTTTTGGGCTTTGGATTGATCCAAAAACGACTTTTTTGTGCAACCTAGTGTATATTCATAGAAGTTATTAGATGGAGCTCTTTAATTTTTTACCTAGAAGATTCTAATTACTCTATTCCAAATCACGCGAGTAGCCATTAAACATTACTAAGAGACATCCCCGCTATATATATTTAGTGATTCGAGGGTTTATTAAAGTTACAATTCTACCCTTAATGAGAAGCTTTAATAACCACACAAATACTCTGGGCCCCTTTTTGAGTTGTTTAGGACCACAAATTCCAAAAGTCTTCATTTTTTCTTAAACACTGTGCCTAGTCAAACAGGTTCACATAAATTGGAACGGGGGGAGTAGTATTTAATGAATGGTATAATAATTGTAGAAAAAGTGTGAACATGGCGGGTAAATTAAAAACCATGCACATATTTCGTAATAAAGTTTCATATATGGTATAGGAAGGAAAAAATCCCTAAGTGGATGGGGGCAATTCTAGACTAAATCTGATAGTTTAGGGGCAATTCAGGCCCTTTTCCGTTCTATAAACCTTCATATTTATGTAACACCTTCTATATTATATACTATATAATATATTTTTAACTATGTATTTTATTTATAAATAAAATAACTTAATATTATTTTATTTATTATTTTTATAACATATTCGTATATTTATTTTTTCTTAACGTTAATTTTCAATATATAAGTAGCGTTATTAAAAATGTGACTTTTGTGATAACTAGAGCAAAGTAAAATGATTTTTGTGTAACAAAAGAAAGAAAAATGACTTTTGTGTAATGAACACAAAAGTTCAATGACCATGGATAAAATTATATCTGTGGTACTCTATTACATTCTCTTTTGCCCCTTGCAACTAATGTAATTCAACCAAAACGCAGACACAGCAGAAATTAACTTTATGCGCGAAGCTCATTTACATAATAATACATACAGCACGACAAGCCAGACTCACTTGTATACATATAGCTATCAACAATACGATGAAATACGATCTGAATCAGATCATAATATCACATATTACAACTCCTTGCGCAGTTCTAACTGTTCTCTGATGTTTTATCCTGGATTTGGCACCGCTGGAGTCTACCAAGGTCCTGTCAGAGTCCTTCTCAAGCATCTTAACTTATTTCCCCATGACATTTTCATTTTTTCTATTAACTGCAATTTGATAGAACAGAATAGTTAACAAGATGACGGGGGCATTCAAACAAGCAATCAAGTTTAACTAAACACATGCATCGGTCTCACTCAGTCACATAGAACACACATTCACTTTTAAAATCGTGACATCTTTACAGGTGATGCCATTTTCACAAGAAAGTATGATCACGTCGTTCCACTCAGGTAACATGATTGACTGTTAAGATATGTACTATAGGATTTATTTCATTAGCTTACCCTATGGTTCATATTTGTTTAACTTATGATCACTGTATCTAGTCCATAATTAAGCAGGAATGGTAGGTAGTTATCAAATCCAGCAAGAGGTACATGTAGTTGTAAAAGAGGTTAGTACCTGATCTTTCTGCATCTCGATAAATTCAGCCTGCACGAAACATTGAAAAAACAGCAGTTATTACAGTAACTTCCTTGTAGTAGCGCTGTGAATTTCAACAATTGTCAATATACCTGTTTCCTCTGCAACTCTTCGTTAATTTCTTTAAGCTTCTCCACCTCAGCTTCCAACTCTAGAGTGTATGCCTGTCATATCGAAGTGCCATTACAGAGTTAATTCATTCAAAACCTAAACGTATAAACACGTTTCTATGAATATCTCGCTCTCAGTCCCATAATTTCCACCAGTTATGCTTAAGATTAAAGATTCTAAAGCTTTAGTGAAGAGCATATGCACTTCCCACAAGTCAACCTGCAAAGCTTCAAATGTTACAGATAATTAATCCCTTTGTCAAGCTCTTTATTATTCACATTTTTTCGGGGAAATGTTATGATTATCGTCTTGACATGAAAATTGTTGAACGCGGAATTACCAACGTTAAACACTTATAATGCATTTCTAGGTGTCTCTATTGCATGAGTCAGTTTCATCGTACAACAGCATAAACAAAAAGATATTTTGAAGCAACTCAACATGTAGAATATAAAAAAAAATAAAAAAATAAAAAAAAAAAAAACATGTAGAATATCAACATATGAGTTCACCTGCTTCCGAGCCCTTGATCTAGCTGCGGATTCTCTGTTCTTAATCATCCTCTTACGTCTTCTTTCCACAACTTTTTCCAAAGAGTTGCATGATCTCCTTCCTTTTCCACCTTCACTAAATGCATAAGGTGAAGGTGAAAGAGACGATCTGTCGAGTTCCTTCTTAGCAATCATGTCCGGTGACTGTTGATTTCCAGGCGATCCTCGTTTTGCTGGTGTAACTCCATTACACAATCCGACCAAGCCTTTAAATCCACCCTGCATAACACTGCCTTGAACAATAGTACTAGTACTTACGGAAGGACTCGACATGCTCACGGCGGGTGTCCTAGCACCCGTGTTAGCCAGTTGGCCATTGTTCCCTAATTGCATAGGAGATGCAAAGGCCACACTCGGTTTTTGTTGTGAAGATGTGGCACTAACCACGTTCAACATGTTTTTCTCTTCAAATTGATTGCTGAACAGTCCAGGATTTTGAGTAGGTTGCTGAAAAGCTATATTCAGACCATTGTTGTTAGTACTAGGTTGACTTAAAGCACCGGTAAACCTAACATCAGTCGAGCTTCCAGTTGGTTGCATATCTTCTCGAACCACTCCTGCTCTAACCAAAAACTCCTCCAATGTCATTTCACCCAATGTAGATTGCCTCTGTCCAAGATTTGGCCATTCCGTACCACTTCCATCTTTAGAACTAACTGTTGTTTCTTTCTGAAAATCTCTCCATACTTCATCTACAGTTTTCTGACTAAGCGTCCGAGGCAATGTCAAAGAACCTTGTCTTTGCAAATTCCCTCCAGCCGTATTCGCATTTCCAACGCCAGCAGCAGATGCTACAACATTAGATTCTTCAGCTGTCCAAATATTCTTCAATAAGTCCTCCAGATTCATTGATCCGAGATCTTTTCCAAGTCCGCAAGTACTCTGGAGCTCATCAAAAGTTAACGAGTATACGGAAGATTGTCTCACCAAAGGAAAATTACCACTTCCCATTGACATCCCACCGTTGCTCTCTGTCTGCGGCGTGTCAGCAAAGTTCTTGAAGTTCATGTAAGATCCCATTATTCCAGAACTCAAGAGAGATTGAAATCTGATCAAAAGTTCAATAATAACAACATTATTTATCAATTATTAGATTTGAATGGCGCAAATCTCCTAAAATTTCAAGACTTACAACAACAACAAAAAAAAAACCCGTATAAGCCCACACGTGAGGTCCGGGGAGGGTAGTGTGTGCGGAGACCATACCCCTACCTTGAGGGTAGAAAGGTTGTTTCGGATAGAAACATCGAAACAAGGAAAGATGAAAATAAAGCAATTGCAACAAGCAGTAACAACAACAACAAGATAATAAGAAAACTAAAATTTCAAGACTTATGTTTCATTATAAATGCTTTATATAGAGGATTAGAAATCCAAATTCACATACAAATTTCATTGTCAAATTGAAGTACAACAAAGAAAGATGCAAACTTTAAGATCTTACTTCACTATAGCTTTGAAAAACTGAAAAGTAGTAGTAAAGAAAATAGAGCTATATGTACAGATCATGGTTCAAGATCAAAAGTTGATAAAAGAATCAACTTCAATCTGAAATTCATTCATCCAATATCAGCTATAAATGAAAAACACTCCATAATTAAAACAAACAGCATATATATATCATCACAACCAAGAATTTTGATTTATTAGTCTTCTGCAAGCTCATTTTGAATCCAGAAAGAAAAATTCAATCAGTTAAATAAATAACACTAACTACTACTAATACATTATTCTAGACTTCAAAAACAAATCAAACCCAAAGGATAATTGAGCAAAAGTTTTTATCTTTATTGTTACTTTTCTCAAAAGTAAAAAAGGCTTGAATATTATTAGGATTGCTGTTAGCAGTATCAGACAAAAGAATATTAGCGAAAAAAGACAAAAGAAGATGTAAAAAATCCAAAAATGAGCTAAAACAATTTTCAAGAAATGACCAAAAAAGAATATCCATTACTACAACACAGCTATAATCTGAAAAACAAATCAAAATCAAAACAAGATCAAGAAAAAAGGTTTGATCTTTATTAGGTAATTCTTAGGAAAACAAACAATAGAATATGTGAAAAAGCAAGCTCATTTAAATCCAAAAATGAGCTAACTTTTCTCAAGAATACCCAATTACATTCTAGTTTAAAAAGCTGATCAAAATCAGAAAATAATCTAGAAATAGTTTTGAACTTTATTAATATGTGAAAAAGCAAGCTCATTTAAAACCCAAAAAACAAAGGAACTTCAGGAGATGCCCAGTAAAAGAGATAAGAACATCCAATTACTATAAAAACATTCTAGTTTAAGAAATTAATTAAAATCAGAAATAATGAAGAAAACGCTTGTGATCTTTATTAAGTGTGTTCTTAGCAGAAACAGACAAAAGAAGATAGTGAGGAAAATGAAGAGAAAAATAACAGTAGAAACAGAAATTTACCTTTTTTTTTTTTTTTAGAGAAGGAAAGATAGAGAAAGAGAGCAAGCGTGTCGATCCCTTCTTCTTTCGCTAGCTTTAAGGCTTGGTAGAGTCGACAAGTGTCTCTCTCTTTTTAAACTGCATTTTCTCACCTTTTCTTTTACATTTTTAAAAATGAGATGTGATGGATGATCAACACGTGGACCAATTAGAGACGGTATCTTTACCTGATTTAATTGTGTAGCCAATAGAAGAGAACCTAGGAATAACAATAAAATTATTTCGTGTAACCTATAAGTCACGTATTCCAACCTTAAAACAATCACTAATATTTGTGTTAAGATAAGTAATTTACATTATACCCCATTTGTTTCAATTTAGATAAAGTAGTTTGACTTGACATGGAGTTTAAAAGTAACAAAGAAAACTTTTGAAATTGTTGTATTAAAAGTTTAAAGGGTAAAAGCTTTGTAGGGTTATGACATTTGTGTGATTATGAAGAGTTTTCATCAAGGGTAAAATAGGTAAAATGAAGAGTTTAAAATTAAATTATTTTCAATTGTAGAAATATGTAATTTTTTTTAATAAAGAAAGTGTGTCATCTAAATTGAAAAAGAGGGTCTACCTCTTAAAGTGCAGCTTTTTTTCGAATCGGATGCGGGATGTTTTATGTACCGGATTGTTTTTTTTTTTTTTTTTTTTTTTGTAAAATTGTGTAGCCACTGATATTGTGTAAGGTGGAAAGATCTGGACCATTTAACGTTCCCGACATTGAAGTAGATGGCGTTTGTTGTTTTTCTTTTGTTCTTGTCTTAAAGAAAGAAGAGAGAGAGTACGCAAGCGGTAAGCGGAGAGTCGGAGACAGTATGAAATATGGCTTGAGCGTGCGCTCATTTAACTGTGGGGAGTCGAGTCTCGGGTGGATTAGGTGAGATCCAGTTTCTTAATCCTCCTCGTTTAAAAAGTGACGATATTAAGCCCCGTTTGGCCATAAATTTTGTTAAAATATATTTGAGATTTTTTTTGGCAAATACATGTTTGGCCATAAATTTTATTTATATTTTGACAAATTTTCAAAACTCAAATTCCAAACCCCAAATCCCAAAATCAGCTGGCCCAAAATATCACTATTACATTTTTTAAAAATTACTCCAAACTTTTGTATTTTATAAAAGAGCCCATCATTTATTATTTTGTAATAATGCTGCTTCGTCTTCTCGGTCATCTGATAGTGTATTATGTAGTTCATTATAAAAATGATAATTTTGTACCAAATTTATTTATGTTCAGGACTATGGTTTGCGATAATATAATGAATATTATTGATAAAGGTTCTGTTGGGTATTTATGATAGTTTTTAGAACTTGTGGGTATAAGCTATGTTTCATGTTTATTCAGAAAAAAAAAAGTGAAATATGTTTTGAAAACTTATGTCCAAACACATTTTCATCTTCAAACCAAACTTCACCCAAATCAGAGTTTTCAAAACAAATTTGAGAATCTATGGCCAAACGCTAACTAAATAACCTATATTAAATTCATATTTAAGTACATTATTTTCAAGTAGAGACAGATCTAAAATTTAAAATTTACGAACTTTTTGAATCACCTCAAGCTAATATGAAGTAGTAATTGATTTATAGTCAAATACTTATATATATATATATATATATATATATATATATATACACACCCCATCTGGGCAAAATCAGGGTGGAATTAGAATGCCGACAATGGGTTTGGCGAAACTCAGTAGCTTTGGTTCAATTCTATTTCTATCTTAAAAATTATTGAAATATACAAATTATTAATTTAAAATTCAATAACTTAAATAATTAGAGTCTCGAACCCAAAAACTTGGAATCCATGCTCCGCTTCCGGGCTATTGCAGCATAGACTAGGCAGGACCTCGAGTGCACCATAAGGAAGAACCTTAGGAACTACTGCTACTAGTTTATTTTACTTCTTCGACACTCAATAGACTCCAGCATTAATTTTCTTATTTAAAAACATTTAGGAAACATAATTATGACAATACACATCATTCTTTCTTAGTTTGAGCTTACTTTTCTGACCAATTTCGTTCTGCTAGATGACTCGAGTCTACCCCTGATGTCAACTTGAACTAGTTATAGGTAAATATAACTTGGACGAAATTTAGTGGAATAATTGTATAGGTCAAAATTTTTCCTAAGGGAAGAAATTAAGGAAAATGATGCGGCTGAGGTCGGCTAGTAAATAGTGAGACTCGTAGCCGGGCAGTTAACGATGATTGAGGTCGAGCACCAAGGACAGAATACTAACGGCTAGTTTTTATAATAAGATATCAAAGAAAATATTTCATAGAATATTCTCTGTACTTGTACCATTAAAATTGATTAGGGATATGTCCCATATAAATACAAAAGGAGATAAGGGGATAGGGAAGGTAATATTCATTTTAATAAGAACACTTTTTGAGAAGAACTCTCTCTCGAGAAAAGATATAGATTCTACCTTTTTACTAAGATTCCATCATCCATTGTCTCATACTTTTCCATCAGATCCGAGAATAGTTCCAAGATCCTAAGATTTGTCTGTCATTTATCACTGTTAGAGAGAAGAATCATCCAACTCATTCAATATTGGGTGAAATATTCTCCTTATTTACATAAATACCATTTATTGCTTGATGCTCCTCTATCATTGCTTAAATCTTTCGGAATATTAAATGCACATTGCTTTTAATTCTTCAGTAACATTATCCCACGTTTTTCATACCAACTAGTTCTAAGTCTAGAGATATTATTATTAACTAGGTTTAACCCTTTATTACACAAGATTTAATAGTTTAACCGAAGGTTTATACTTTTTGTCAAATAATTTGGCACCGTCTGTGGGGATTCCCTAGTTAAATTTTTAGTTTTTTCTAGATCTATAATTATCACGGGTTTCAAACAAAAAAAACACACGGAACAAAGCTCCTTTTTTCCTTGTACACAATGATCTTACATGACAGTTAACGGAGAAGAAAGAATGAGGGTAGTGGCCGACCTCACCACCAATCTGTTAAACACCATCAATGAGGTTTCTGAGATAGAAGGCGAGGACATAACGCTTAATGACTCTCCCAGGCGAGGCGGACGCCTCTCCCCGGCAGTATTGCAATGTCCCACGATAAAGGAGCTTCCACGTCCACAACGGAGAGAAACCACCAGCAGTGAAAAAGCTCTTTGAGACTTGGCTAGCTAACATGTTAACCAGTATCCTCAACAAGCCCGCCCAGGAGACAGTCAGAGAAAACGCAAGGACTTGCATCACACCGACAACGGTCGAGCAGCATGGCCCTTTCCCTCCGGTAACATGTACTCACATTGTCAATAATGCAGGTGACGACACTCTCATAGAAATTTTGAAAAAGATGGAGGAAATGGAAAACGAGAACAAAGTGCTTCGGGACCAAATGAGAAAGCACCAAGAAAGAGTCGACAAAATACCAGGTGCCCCAAAACTCTTGCCCAAAAGAGATGTTGGTCAGTTTGTCGAACAACCATACAGTGATGAAGCCACTCCGCATGCCATACCAAAGACCTTCAAATGCCGCCCTATCTAAATATATGATGGTATAACCGATCCCAAAGATCATGTGACTCACTATGTCACCGCTGTAAAACGCAATGACCTCGCCAAGGAACAAGTATCCTCCATCTTGTTGAAAAAGTTCGGCGAGACCCTCACCGGAGGAGCATTAACTTGGTATTCACGGCTGCCGGCGTGTTCCATCGAAACACTCGAAGAGATGCCCGACAAGTTCATAACGGCCTATGCTGGGGCCAAAAAGGCGGAGGCAAGAGTGAATAATATATTCGCCATCAAACAATCGCCCGGAGAGAGATTGGGGGACTTCCTCGCTCGATTCAACCGAGTAAGGATGACCTTACCAAATTTATCGGAAGGAATGGACGTAGCAGCTTTCCAAAACGTGCTGAGCAGGAATGGCTCAAGGGCGACCAGAAAGTTATTAAGTCGACTTATGAAGTATCCTCCAACCACTTGGGATGAAATACATAACGCCTACTGTGCCGAGGTCCGTGCAGACAAGGATGACCTAAATGGGCCAACTCATCGGTTGACCTCAGTACAGGTCGAGTCTAGGAAGGATCAAAGAAATGATATCAGGAGAGATCTTGCAACTCCACGACCTAACCAAGAACGTCACTAGTCATATAACAGGAGCGCCATCATGCCCCCCTCCCACCACGATGAGGGCCCGCCCAGACCAAGGACAAGGACTCACCGGAACGAGATAGGTATACCCCCTTTGTTATCTGCTCACAACTTTTGCGTGTCAAGTGGCCACAAAAGATGAGGTCAGATCCAAGCACCAGAAAGTTAGACGCCCTCTGCGAGTTCTACCAAGAGCGAGGTCACAAAACTAGGACTGCATTGCCCTGAGGAAGGAGGTCATAAACATGCTTCTCCAAGGACACCTCAAAGAATTGTTGAGCGACCCGGGGAGGACCAACTTTGCCCGAGGACATGAACAGCACTAGGGATCGCCGAAACCACCCTCACCGACCCGCACCATTCAAATGATCATCGGGGGCGGCGACGATGCTTCAATCAACAACGTAAAGTTCACCACAACCCACAAGCTCAAACGGTCGATCACTCACGAACGGTATGACGAACTCGAAGAAAGTATCATCTTCGATATGTCAGATACCACAGTTTAGTTTTCCCTTATTATGACACCCTTGTTATCACTTTACGAATATTAGATACAGATGTGAGGCGCATTATGGTAGACGATGAGAGCGACACGTGCATTATCCACCCTCGAGTACTTGCACAAATAAGACTCGAGGATAAGATAGTATCACGTTGCATCACACTAACAGGTTTTAACAATGCAGTTGAACGGACATCTGGAGAAATCACACTCCCCGTCCTGGCCGGTGGCGTCACTCTGGAAATTACATTCCACATCATGGACCAGGACGCAACGTATAATGCCATAAT